CTCTCTCTCTCTCTCTCTCTCTCTCTCTCTCGTAGAGGGCGGGGCTTGTGGGGCCCGAAGGGGTGGAGCTTATCCTAGCTTGGAAGGTTGGGGGAGGGACCTAACGTATCGAATGGTAAAATATATGCGTATCTGAAGGGAGTGGTTTAGACCATGTCACTATAGGGGCTGAACCTATCTCAAGGGGCGGAGCTTAATACTTCTAGAGGGATAGAGTAAAAGCATCTCAGAGAATGATGAACGACGTATGTCAAAGGGGGGTGGAGCCCAACGCTCAGAAATAGAGCGTAACTTGTCTCAGAGGGCAGTGGGTGGAGTCTAACGTGTCTCCATAGATGGGATGGTTGTTTAGGGGGTGGTGGGAGGGGTGGGAGTGGTATTGTATCTGGGTATTTTTTTAATGAAAGGGGTGTATGGATAGGTGCTTATGTGTAGCTTCCAGGCAAGATGGAGTATGAGGTTTTTAGTGGTGGGGTTTGTGGGCGGAGCCAACATTGAGACATGGTGCAGTGAATGAGTCGATCAGATGGTATTCTTTTATGAATAGTGTGCCGAAGAGAAACAATATATGTATGTGTGGTGCGGGGGGGGGGGGAGGGGGGGGGGGGTGAGGGGGGTAGTATGAAACATAGTAAATAAGGTTTTTAGTCACTGTTCAAGGTAGAGAGTAAATTTAGGTTCTCAGGTTTTAGATCAGAGGTGTCACTCCTGAAAAATGGTGAAGGGTGAAGAGTGGAAGATGGAAGTGTAAGGTAGGCGGAAGGAGTTAAATATGTCTCTTCCAGGGGCAAACTCTCAGTCATGGAAGAGAAAGACAGAAGAATAATTCCATGAAAAGAATGCTTTAAGAAGTTGGGAAGGCGTCGAGGAGAGGTGAGTGACCATCTGCAGCCTGCGTGCGCGGCGCGATGCCATCTGGTTCTGCCTTGACCCCTGCTACTTTCCTCAGGTTTTGATTATAATGCATGTAGATCTAGTCCCAATGTGAGCTGAACGTCACAAGTGAAAACTTGTCTTAGCATGTATTTTGAACTTCTTGTTCAGAACCTTCTTTTTACCTTGTTTACACTTTTCTACAGCATTCTGAACTGTAGCAAGGTCAAATTTCTGATTTTGTTTCTTCAAGTTAAAAAAAAATAATTTGTGTCCCATTTAAAAGGTTAAATACATGTATTTCAAACTGTTTATTTCTTTAGTTTCTTATGACCAGGTGTTACTTTTGCTGGAGTTTGACTTGATTAAAAGTAACGGACAAGAAAGTAATGTTGATGCAATAAGGTTGTGAGAAAATAATGACTTGAGTTAATATTGCTATAAATACACGGCCAAAACAGTGACACAAGGTGAAAGTTAATTCCGTGACGTCATTTTACTCCTGCCATGTGTGCACTTCAATGTTTTGTTACTAACATACCCGGCTTATAATCCAGAGTTTTACTAACAGCATTGCATGCACCAACATTAATTGTTTTCGTGGAGTGGTGACCTTTTTATATCTAATTCTTCTTCAAAACAGTAATAAGTGTTGGATTTTTAGTCACATATATTTTTTAAAGAAATGGGAACGAATAAAGGTGCTCCAAAAGCCGCGCAGCACACATGAATTAAAGTAATGTCAATCTTCCGGAATAGTAAAGTACACACGCTACCGATTATCTATAATGATGAATGCGTTTTCTACCTAGTCCAGCGGATTCCAATTAGTTAACGCCTAGTATGGTGGTTTGTTCATGGACACAGCTGGCCAGAGGTGGAGAAGATCGACCAGAACAGAGACAGATGGAGAGCTTTTCTTGACGACCTGTACCCAGTACCAGGGTGAAAGAGGCGAATGATGATGATGATGAATGATAGTTTGCATGTTGTGAGTGTATGTGTGTTTGTGTGCGTGTGCGTGTGTGTGTGCATGTGTGTGTGTGTGTGCATGTGTGTAAGTGTGTGTGTGTGTTTGTGTGCGTGTGCGTGTTTATGTGTGTGTAAGTGTGTTTTAGTGTGTGCGCGCGAGCACTAGTTGGAGGGGAGGGGGAGGAGGGTCGATGCTATGAAAACCAAACTATAAGATAAACTTGAATTCTAAAGCAGGAGAAAGAAATGTGCTGAAAGAAAAATGAAGTATGCTGGCCTAACTTTGTGTTCTTCATATTTGTTAATGTGCTTTCTGCTTTGTCTGTTCTGTGGTATATGTCATTTTGTGTTGTGTTGTGTGCGTATTCGTATGTGTGTGCTTGTATGTATGTATGTGTGTATGTATGTATGTATGTATGTATGTATGTATGTATGTATGTAT